GTTAACCGTCGCCTCTGCGCGCGTGCGTTCGGACAACCATGGCGCTGAGCGAAGCCTGGCAAGAACACGGTACTGCTCAGGGTCATAGAACTTTATTGCCTGCGGCAACACCAAAACGCAGTACAAAGCTCGTTGCAACAGGGTTGGAGAGAAAGCAAATAGGCTTATCCACACCTCGGGCGAGATGTACTACACAGGGTGCTGCGAGCACGTCTCCATGGGCAAAAGTGATTCACTGTGACACCAGGACAACAGGGCCCAGTCGCTCGAGTGATGAAAAACTCCGCTCGCATTGGCTTCCGAGAGGTACGGGGCGGCGTAGTATCACCACGCACTAGGACATCGCACTGCTCTTCGGCCTAGCGTTCGAAGGGGGGGGGGGGCAACAAATTTTAGCGTTCGCCGTGGGCGTGAGGCGCCATTGGCGAAGTCCGAACAAGTCCTAAACAAAAGCAGCCAACTGACAGAAAAGAAATGCTTGCTTACCCCATGTCGTCCGGGAAAGGTTCTCTCTCTCCCGATGCGCTCGCGCAAAACGTCCAGACTCTGCACACGGCGCCACAGTCGACATCTGCTTCCGAGTGAGAGGGCTTAATACTCACTCCCACTCCCCCAGCGCAACAAACTGCGGAGGAGAGGAGAGTCATGTCAGGATATGAGAACGCAGAATGAGGCGGCAAAGCCCGCACAATGGCTGGCTTTGCCGCCTCATTTCGACGAACGCGCAAGTCCGACGAATGCGCTTTGGTGGTGGTTCGGGGGCTCGATGACGGAGCTGGAACGTTGGTGGGGATCAGGGAGGCCGAACTGGAATAGGCCGATCCAGGGATCAGGGAGGCCGAACTGGAATCGGCTGTTAGGCGTCTTGGCGTGGGCAGGCAGCATGTAGCTGCTGTCAGCTGGCCTTATGCAGGACGATAGTTATAGCGCGAGAACAAAACGACACAGAGACAAGAAGGACACTGTGTCGTTGTTTTGTTTTCGCGCTATAACTATCGTCATGCCATACCAACTAGCCCAAGCTGCCACACTTATGCAGGAGCCAAGGTGGAAGGGGCAGCAGGGCTTGTCGGCAACGGCCGAGAGCAGGGCACAGCCGGACTGTCTAATGACAGTAGGCCAGGGCCCCGAGCATCTCTTGTGTCCACGTCGATGGAACGAAACCACGACTTGCACTCTGATTGATTGATTGATTGATAATCAATCAATCAGAGTGCAAGTCGTGGTTTCGTTCCATCGACGTGGACACACTCTTCCCGGGCACGCACACAGCATCACACACGTACACATGCACAAAAGCACGCCCACACACACACCGCCGACGACTGCGCGAGCAAAGGCGCAAAACGTCCTTTTTCCCTCTCCCCACGCATAAGCACCAATGTTCACAACTCCCTTTGTCAGTATACAAAATACCGCACAAAAAGTGTTAAACAGAGCAAAAATGGCACTTAATATTAGGCCAGAAGAACATATAAACATAAAATACAAATGAACACTTGAAAAAAAAAAAAATTGGCCCCGTATCACATGTAATCTGCAAGTGTCGTCGAAAGACGATAGTCTTGCGTGTGGAGAGAGTGAACAATTTATTTGATGTTCTGCGCAAAAAAATTGGTGAATGGTAGTTTGGAGGCGCTGCGTTAGAGTGTCTCGAGCGTGCAGTGGAGGCGAATGAGCGCATCAAGTCACGTCACACGTGAGATATGAGCGCCACCTGGCAGTGTTCTTGGAAAACGAAATGTGCAGCTCTAAGACTCAGAGGTGATAAGGTGTAGAACGCAAGGCGACGGGTAGGTGCCATCACCATCCCGTCTTAGCAAAGCGTTGGAAGCACTCACCTTTTCGTGCAAGTGTTACATGGTCAGTGCAGCGTGATAAGCGCTACGGTCCTCAAAATGACTTATGTATGCTTTTTCTAGTAAAAGATGCACATGCAGAATATATACGTGGTGTTATGGTGCCCCAGACTTGCGTAACAATTGCTTATTAATTGACAATTGCACAAGTATGAACGCTAAATCTTGAGCAACATTGGTGGGCTCTGCGGATGGGGTCGGCCGTTTCAAGTACCCGGTGCCGTTAAAAGTGGACAACTGTACAGACAGACAGACGAAAACTTTTGCATCGAAAGTCCCCAAGAAAGACTATCCTCTTTAAAAAGAAACACTGGCAGCAAACTGGGCGGGGTCGGCTTCTTTATGAGAACAGGCCGTAGAGAAGCTAACCTATACTGAGGCCTGCGATGTGGGCACGGCTGAGTTTTCCCAAAAAGGGGATCTTTCAGCAAGTATGCGCCATGGACGATCACTGATATTCGATTCGTAAGACTGGGCGGCTTGCCAACCCTTGGTTCCACTGTTTGTCAGACGTGGCCGGCACGGCAATAGCGATAGATGTCATGCTTCGTGCCGGGCCAGGTCACAATGTTGCTCAGTTTTCAAAAACGTTCAAGCCACTTAGATGACTAGCTGTGAGTTCGTCATGAGAGAATCACAACAGTGCGGCTCTCAGACTTTTTTGGCAGAGCCACTTTAAATGGACCCACAGACTTCTCGTCGGTGGCTATATAGTTCAGCAGAAGCCTGTCATGGTCCAGCAAAATGAATCCGCCGGAGACTCAGGGACACATGCCGTTTCCAGCCCCCTATTCGTGCCCGCTGCACTGCAGCAACTGCCGCGTGCACGGCATCACGGGTTTGCTCTCAGCATTGTGGCCTTCAGAAAGCTCCCCCGCTCAACCGCTACGCGATGCGCCGCTTACTTCGATAGCAGTGAAGGTCGTCTGCATGGGGACTCCCCCTTTCGCCGAATGGCAGCGAAGTCGCTGTTTCGCTCCCGACACTTGCATGTGCAAAGGCACCGCAAGCGGCTGTCGCACTGGGATCAAGGTTCTCAGCAGACAACAGGGGGCACGAGATAGCGTGTCAGCTACCACGTTGGTTGTGTGTTCACCACAAAAGGGGGTGACGACATGAACGGGTGCAGAGGAGTGTCCGTCAATAGAGGCAATGGCCTCTTTGTGCAAGGCGGCATTCGCCTAAAAAGGTCAGCAGACAAAAATGCCACGAGCAGGCTTGTTGTGATGAGCTCGAATCGCACAGGCGAACTAACTCGCTAAAAGCAGTCAAAAGCATTGAGATTTCGATACCGCGTTGGGGGCCACTGTAGTGTACATGTGTCCCGAAGGAGTGCAGCCACTAGCGTGGGTTCGGTCTTAACGAGCCACAGGGGACGTGTTAATTGTCGCCTCTGCACACACGCGCTCGGACAGCCATGGCGCCGAGCGAAGTGTGGCAAGAACACGGTACTGCTCAAGGTCGCAACACTTTATTGCCTGCGGCATCACCAAGAATGCAGTACAGAGCCCGTTGCAACAGGGGCGGCGGGAAAGAAAATGGAATTATCCACGTCACAGGCGAGAAGTACTTTACAGGGTGCTACGAGCAATTATTGGTGAACAAAAGTGATTCACGGTGACACCAGGACAACAGGGCTGTTGGTGAAGTTCGAACGAGCTTCAAGCAAAAGCAGCCGACTGACGGAAAAGAAATGTGTGCTTACCTCATGTTGCCCGGGAGAAGTTCTCTCACTCCCGACGCGCGCGCGCAAAACGTCTTGAGGGACTCCGCACACGGTGCCACAGTCGACATTCGCTGCCGGATGAGAGGGGTTTAATATTCACTCCCGCTCCCCCAGCGTGATGGACCGTGGAGGAGAGGAGAGTCATGTCAGGACATGACAACACTGAAAGAGGCGGCAAAGTCTGCGCAATGGCGGCGGGCTAGCCCCGATTCCCACAGGTCCTGCCTTAATCAAGTGCAAAGAAGTTTTGGTGCCCAGATCAAGTGACTGAAATGCGCCAGCTACTCTACTGAACTACTCAGTGCCTTGGCAACAAATCTAATGAGTGACATTTCAAGACTAGGCACTAAGACACGCCCAGTCTAGGAAAGGCGGAAAATTTCTGTCGTTCCTTACGTACATGGTATGAGCCATTCGTTCAAGAAAATTGTTAGCGAAGTAGAAGTAAGGTTTGTTTTCCCGGCTCCCCGTAAGCTCGGCCGCCTTCGCAAGAAAGTCAAGGATAACAACCCCAAGGAGCATGCGTGCGTCAAGAAACAGAGGATGCATTACAGGAGTGTGTGAGTGATGTAGTGTACGGCATTCTGTTGTCTTGTGGCCTCACCTATAGACAGACGGTCACTGTTTGATCGACCGCCTGAGAGAGCACACGAATAAGCTTAGGACTTCAACAAGCAGCACCTTGGCAGCCCATTGCTTCTCGCGGGGCTGCACCCCGCTCTTTCATAATTGGAAGATACTCTCAAGATATCGTAAGATAGAGTGTGAGATCAACGAGGCTTTCTATATCAAGATGGAAAAAAACATGTGCGTCAGTGAGCCTTCACTCGCCTTCTTGGAAAAAGTGATTCTTTTTGAGTGGTTAACTTGGTCATTTCGACTCATGGCAGTTTCGTCTTACTCTTCACCTTTATGTGCACGTGATGGTTTTATTCTTGTTTCTGTTTTCAGCTATATATTTCCCAGTGTAATAAATTTACACAGTTGTTCGCTAGCGCTTATGTTGTGTTGATTATTCTTTCTTCGTCCCGTTTTTGCACTGTTCCCCTCTGTATCTCGAGAGGATTATTTTTTTTGCTCACAATTGACGACACCCGCACCGACAAAGAGATTGGAATTTCTGCGAAACGAGCTTCTTATAGCTATCGCGTTAAATTCTGTCCAAGAAAGGATACAAACAAGCAGGGTTTCCCCTGACGAAACAACAAATGGAATTCTAAATTGCTAACAAAAAAAAAAAAAAAAAGCCAGTCGTGGCCAGTTGGTTATTGGTCACACTTTGAGTGTACTCCGACTACTGGGCTTTGTATAGCCGCTAATAATTCTTCTGAATTCTGATTTGAATGTAACATACCAAATGACACAGCTTGTGTTGTTTTGAAAACTTATTGAAAGGTTTTCTTACTGCATTTCAGGATCAGCTTTTGGCATTGGAGGGCTCCCTTCCATTCTTTGCTGACCTGACATCTGAAGAGCTAGGGTTCGATATCAATGGAACTTCAGCTGCCCCTGATGTGAAGGCAACTACCGATGTTGCTGATACTCCTGTACCTGTAGAGGCTGCACCATTGGGAAGCCCAGAATTCGCTAAAAAGAGCAAGATTGGATCGTGAGTTCTGGCATATACCCTTTTAAGTTACATGTCCAATCATATTTAGAATATTTCACATGCCATTTAAATAGCAGCAAGCTATTGCCTTCAGCTTTTTTTTGTCTGCTTGTGCTCTGTAGCGACCACTGCAAGGGCTTTAGATGTTAAGCAGCTCGATTATTTCATATCCATGATGTTCCCATGGGAAAGCTCCCAATTCTAACTCTACTTACCTGTATGACTCATGGAATCACTTGTTTTTACCGCATCCTGCCGAGTTCTGTGTCAATGCTGCAGTAAGTTGCATAGCAAAGATACTATGGCCCCGCCATGGTGGTCTAGCGGCTAAGGTTCTCGGCTGCTGACCCATAGGTCACGGGATCGAATATACGGCTGCGGGGGCTGCATTTTCGATGGAGGTGAGAATGCTGTAGGCCCGTGTGCTAAGATTTGGGTGCACATTACCCCAGGTGGTTGAAATTTCCAGATTCCTCCACTACGGTGTCTCTCGTAATCATGTGGTGGTTTTGGGACGTTAAACACCACCCATCAATTGAGCAAAGATACTATGTGAAATTGCTACAAGTATGGTTAAATTTCCTAATCTAAAATTCAAGAGAGCATTAGGCGGAGATATATGGTCATGCATGGTTTCTTTTGACAACAGCTCATGTTGATTACCTCACCTAGGGTCTGCGAGGTTGAAAGTTTTTTTTTTCTTCTGTACATTGCGAAGTTTAGTCAAGTAAGTGTCGGAGGGTACTTGCAACATGTCCTTAGGAAACTGGGGTGCTCAGCCTTTGGACACAAGTGCAGTGCTTCCTGTGGTCGAGCAAACGTTTATTTAACAGTTTTTACAGCTGGTTGGTGGCTTGCCACACTGGTACATGCATTTGAAGAACGTTAAAATACTAAGCCTGCATGGCACTAGCAATATGCATTGCCCCTGAAATTGCGTGCTGGCGGGTTTCTCTCCTGCCGTCCCATTCGCACGAAGAGGGCGTGATTTGAGGGAGGCGTGGCCAGTTCCTTCTCCGAATCGTGGCGCTCACTGAGGGTCAGAAAGGCTTTCGTGCTCTTGCCACAGCTTGCATGAGGCGAGTAAAAAATGGATTTGCACTTTTAGATAACCTCCCACTGAGTTGGAAATGTTTGGTCAAGGTGTACGAGAGGCAAAGTGCTTGCTGGGGCCTATTTATAGTCTAATGCGTTTTTCTTTCCTCTATATATGTGTCTTCTATGTAAGAGCACTTATAAGTGCGATGTTTCTGCAAGAGATCCACTTGTGCTGGAAATGCACCATACCTCGAAGTTTGCGGGTTGTATAGTATGGGTGCGCTGGTGAAGGAGACCAAAAAAAGGGAACGATTATTAGGCTGGGCGCGATGACGCTGAGGGCTCAAGCTTTCCCTGCCGCTAAAGACAGATCAGTCATAGCCAGGTCTAAGTAAATTAAAGGTGTTTTTCATATCGCCCCAGTGTTCTCTGTGAAAACCTCATATGAAAAGTTGCCATGATAACACAGATAGCTGTATTGATAGCTGCACAGATAGCTGTATTGGAAACAACTGATCACCAACGATCCCACAATCGCTAGGGCAGCAGTTACATAAAAGTGGCACATACAAATACGCCTGTGACCGGCACACCTTGAGTGTACGTCTCTGTGCTTGGTGGTGCTGGCCTTAATAATCCGGCACCATCGAGTAAGTATATTTCGCCCATATCCTTGAGCAAGAACATGAAAGAGCCAAACGCTGTGAGACTAGCTTGTCAGGATTGCATCACACAAGCCATGAATATGCTATCCAAAAAGCTCCTTTTATCGATCGAGGTCATGTAGTTTGAAAAGAAGCATCAATTTAATTGTGCCTAACCAATTAAAATGGAAAAGAACTTCTGGCAGGCTGAGTCACATCAGTGTTAAGGAAGACCAGCGGTACAGAAACTAAACTTTTTGAATCTCCGCTGTGTATTCACAAATGCCACACCAGTGATAATAGTGATACAAACAGCACAAAAAGAGATAATGAGGTAGCACAATGTGTGCACAGTGGGGATGCCAAAATTTTCTCCGTTTTTCGCAACACACCAGTGAGGCATTCACACAAGGTAACCGCTCTAACGCTGCAGCATAAGTGTATTATGCATAGAAATAAGGTCGAGCACGTGCTGGATAGGAACGCTAATAGAGCCGATTAAACTCTGCACTCGGGATCAGCATTCTTCATGCTGTTTTCTCGCAATGCCTCCGATGCCTCCGGGTCTAGCGCGACAGCTGCGCTCACAGCGCACAATGCTTCGCACTCACCCACAAGGCACCCAGTTCTCTTTTTCAACTACTTCCTGTCACACCGTAAAAACAAGTGACGAGAAGAAGGGTGGAGGCAGTCGCCATACATGTAGACCACCGTGGTCTAGACCGAACCTTGCAGGTCATAGAGTTTTCTAAAGATAACTAGAGGGGACTCTGGTGCTGCAATCCTTCAGGGGCCTTGAGAATTATGGGTATGACATGGATTTGCCTAGTCTTCATGCTTGCAGTGCGGTGAATGCACTTGCGGCTTCGTTTATTGCTGTGTTTTGGGGTTGTTTTGAATGAAAGAACGAACAGTTTTTCACTTTGTGGCCCGATTTGAAACGGTAAGCCTAAAAGATTAAGGTGGTTAAGCGTAACTGCTGAACATTTGCCGATTGTTGTTTCATGACAAAGCAGCTTCAAACCACACGAAGCTAAAATGAATGTAAAGTACAAAGACTAGGCACATCCATGTCGTACCCATTATTCCCATGTATGGTGAAGCCTATGCGTTGCAGTTCCCATAGACACTAGCGCCAGAGTTCCCTCTAGTGTATTTTTAGGAAACTGTCGTCGGTGCTGCGATAGCTCTGGACAAGTTACAGTTGCATTTTATTCATTTATGGACCATTTGCCTTCTCAGTTTTATTGTGTTTGGTGATATATTGGGCGTTTTAAAATTAGCGTTACAAAGTAGAAAAAAAAAGATCATCGAACGAATCGATGTGCATGCTGGTATGCTGTGCGCTCTGCATTCTGCTGTGGTCTCGGTTGCTGCCGGAATCCTCAGTCAGCGTGCCCTCTCTCGTCAGTCAAGCGTGCAAGGCCTGCGAATTTTTTTTTTTCTGAGGAGGAGCTCATCAGTTAGAACAGATGGAGAGAAATCAATCTCAGAAGCCATTCAATACAGTAGAATCTCAGAAGATACGATTATGGTTGATGCGAATTTTAAGGTTGTTTTGGATGGACTACATTATATAAAATACATTGTGATTCGGTGTAATACGTATGGTTTTCCCAGCCACCACGGATGATACGAATGTGCGATTGACCGCTGCATGCCAGCGGCGCAATGTGGCTTGTCAGTGGGAGGAAGGTCCGTTCACTCTAGACCTCGAAGGTAGTGAATATGGCAAAACTCCCCAGAATTTTCCTCGCTTTGGTGGCCGGAAAAAAACGCCGCGAGGCCGACGTGAAAAATTGGTTTGGGACCAATTTGCCCGCCACGCGATCGCCTTTTTGCTTCACGGCTTTGGCATCACTGGCTGCTCTATCTTTAAAACCACGTGATGTCAACAGCCTGCCCGCAAATGAACATGGCGGCAAAGGCATCGGCGGTAGGTCGCCTCGGTGCCATGGAGAAAGGAATCTTTCCTCTATGGTCGGCGCTATCGCGAATTACCTGCGCGGCACGTCAAAGCCAACGGCCTTGACAAGGACGTGGTCATCGAGAGCCTGGTGTGGATTACGATCGCTGAAAACACCGGAAGTAGAAGGTGCAGCAGCAGCGAGTCGGCTTACCCGAATGTGTCTTGCTTTTGCACTGCCGGCTGAATCCGTCGCCACCACTGTGTCCGCTTGTGTCATTTCGGCTGGCGTGTCTTCCGAAATAACTTTAGTAAAGGCATAAACTGTTTCTTTTCAGTGCCTTGTATGCATAATTATAACTCTGTACGAACTTCAGTGCTCAGGAAACTGGCAAAATGGAATGAATTCTCAAGCGGCGATGGCGGGGGTGGCATGTGTACGACGTACAAAACAACCGTGAATGTTTTCGGCAGGCGCAGACATGGTTTTCCGGCCGCACTGGCATTTTCGCTTGAATTCTTCAATGTGAATTCTCCAGTACTCGTTTTTTTTTTTCATGTCGACTTCGCGGCGCGGTTTTCCGGCTGCTTAAGCAGGGAAGCGAGTGAATTTTCAATGAGTTTGGCCGCCTTTGCTCGCTCTGATGTCAACTGTGAGTGCGCTGCGCCAGCAGCATGAGCGAGAAAACCGCAGCACTTAAGAGACAGTGAAGGCAGGAAAGTTCAAAAGAACATCACACTTTTTTTTCAGCAAGGTGTAGTTGCCAATGAAGTTCTTATTCATAATTTTTATCAGCTTTAAGTTGATAAGAATTCGGGCTGATACAAATATTTTACGCGCTCCCTTCGGATTCGTATCATCGAGATTCTACTGTATGGAACTGTGTTGTCGGTGTGACTGCATGACGTCAGCCCATCAACTGGCTGAATGCAGTTTAGCCAAGGAAGCTTCTGGCCAAATGCCCACATGCATTTAGGATGTCACATTGTAAAGTGACATTGACTTGGTTTTCAATTCTCAAAGGTAATGGAAGTTCTTCATCGGGAGACTTGTTATAGCATGCCTGCATGCTTTATTTTTTTTTGTTATCTAGGCAATGGCACTACTATAAGTGAGCAAGATAAGATGACTCCATCGGTTCTCATCTTTGCCTGCTGCCTTGTGAATTGTCTGTATTAGAAGTTGCAATGAGTTTTTGTCGCGGCACCATTCAGAAGGGGGTGGGAGTGTGGGGAATAGAGGACATCAATGAAACTAGTAGCATATAATAATGTGCAATAGCAAGGTGCTAATGTTAATCCTGTTAGTGAATATAAATACTTTGTGACAAGCTCCCTTATCGTTGTAGATAGTGTTAGCCAAGATGTCAGTTTAGCTGGCCCTACTTACCCTAGTGAGGGCTCTTAGCAGAACCTTGAGTAATAACTCGCAGTTCTCGCGTGTTTGTCTCTCTTGTAGGGATGCTTTCATCAACAAAGCAGCCTTTCTTTTGTGCCTGCTCTGTGGCTTGTCTACTGATACACTTGCAGTTATTTTTATTTGTAGGCTTGAAGTTTCACATTTCTATTTGTTGCTGCTGTTCTCTTCTCTAGAAGTGATGAGGCAGCATCAGAGGACCAGGTGGCAAATGAAATTTTACTTCAAGCACAAAAAGCAGCGAAGGCTGCAGCTGACAAGTTTTCTTTGAAGAAAGTGAATAGCAAGGTGAGCTGCAAATGTTAAACAGCTTCACAAGTTGTCTGCAGGAAAACAAAAGCTAAGGTGTTGTTACCCATGTGTAGAGAGGGAGATAGTGTGTGCTGATTCCTGTAAATATCTGTCATGATTCTTCCCATCTCGTTAATTTTTTTGAGCTTGTACCCATCTGACCTGTAACAGAGCATTGCCGTCACTGTAGTTTTACCGTGGACCGATGTCAGCACGCGAACTTGCTTCGCCCCCTTCTTCTCGACGGTTGTGGTGCCAGGCATGTAGAAGTAAAGAGGCGTCTGGTCGGCATTCCCGATTTGCCCAAGCAGGTAGCCATTGTTGTGCCGCAAGTTTAGGACGAACCTCTGAAAACTGTGAAGCTTTTCATCGTACTCCTCCGCAAAACTTTTCGCATATGCCCGTTTGCTTTCGGAGGGAAAAGCCTTTCCTCTTCATAAAGTTACCGTATTTACTCGATTCTACCGCGCCCTCGATTGTAACGCGCACCGGGTTTCCACGATGAAAAAAAAAAAAAAAGTAAGACATCGATTGCAACACGCACCCATTTTTCTCGTTGGCCCACACGATCACACCACTCGGGAAAATGCTCCTTTCGGGAGCGTCTTCCGTTTAAATATGAGGTACGGGGGAAGCTTTTGCCTACCTGACGTGCAACGGAGCATTGCTGTCACTCTTGTTTTACCGTGGCCCGATGTCAGCACGCGAACTTGCTTCGCCCCCTTCTTCTCGACGGTTGTGGTGCCAGGCATGTAGAAGTAAAGAGGCGTCTGGTCGGCATTCCCGATTTGCCCAAGCAGGTAGCCATTGTTGTGCCGCAAGTTTAGGACGAACCTCTGAAAACTGTGAAGCTTTTCATCGTACTCCTCCGCAAAACTTTTCGCATATGCCCGTTTGCTTTCGGAGGGAAAAGCCTTTCCTCTTCATAAAGTTACCGTATTTACTCGATTCTACCGCGCCCTCGATTGTAACGCGCACCGGGTTTCCACGATGAAAAAAAAAAAAGTAAGACATCGATTGCAACGCGCACCCATTTTTCTCGTTGGCCCACACGATCACACCACTCGGGAAAATGCTCCTTTCAGGAGCGTCTTCCGTTTAAATATGAGGTACGGGGGAAGCTTTTGCCTATCTGACGTGCAACGGAGCATTGCTGTCACTCTTGTTTTACCGTGGCCCGATGTCAGCACGCGAACTTGCTTCGCCCCGTACTTCTCGACGGTTGTGTGCCAGGCATGTCGAAGTAAAGAGGCGTCTGATCGGCATTTCCGATTTGCCCAAGCAGATAGCCGTTGTTGTGCCGCAAGTTTAGGACAAACCTCTGAAAACTGTGAAGCTTTTCATCGTACTCCTCTCGAAACTTTTCGCATATGCCCATTTGCCTTCGGAGCGAAAAGCCTTTCCTCTTCATAAAGTTAGTTAGACAGCACCTGCTCTCATTAAACTGGCTCCGCATTAGCCCTTTTTCTAAGGCTAACTGCGTAGCCCGCACTTGGAGCAGTTCTGTCGTCAAAAGTCGCTGTGCCGCTCGCTGCTCAAGCATATGCTCGCCGAGCAGCTCTTCAATTTGCGGAAACCGACCCTGCTGTGGTCCACTGAAGCCTTTGCGTGAATCTTTGCTGTCGACAATATTCTGCTTTTGTTTCCGCCAGTCCTGCACGCACCTTTCGGGAACTCAGAACGACCGCGATGTGGCCCGATTTCCGTCCGTTTCGGCACACGCGATGACTTTTCTTTTAAAAGCGGCATTGTGGTGCACTCGTCGAGTTTTTGGAGTCGGCCGTACCATGCCGTCGATGCTAATGCACACCAAGATGACGAACTCCTCAGCACATGTACGAAGTGCCGCACATGGGAAACACATAGCCAGAAATGGCCGATGCGCCATGCCGACGCACGTAGGGGGCGGCCATTTTGGAAGTGCCGATGGCAATAGAATGACTGTATTCATTTTTTTTCTTTCATACTCGATTCTAACGCGCATGCGATTTATGAACTCGCTTAACCGGAAAAAAGGTGCGCGTTAGATTCGAGTAATTATGGTAGTTAGCTAGCACCTGCTCGCTTTAAACTGGCTCCGCATTAGCCCTTTTTCTAAGGTTAACTGCATAGCCTGCTCTTGGAGCAGTTCTGTCATCACGGGCCGCTGTGCTGCTCACTGCTCAATCACATACTCACCGAGCAGCTCTTCTATTTGCGGAAGCCGACCCTGCATTGGTCTACTGAAGTCTTTGCGTGAATGTTTGCTGTCGACAATTTTCTGCTTTTGTTTCCGCCAGTCCTGCACGCACGTTTCGGGAACTCCGAACGACCGCGATGCGGCCCGATTTCCGTCCGTTTCGGCACACGCGATGACTTTTAAAAGTGGCATCGTGGTGCACTCGTCGAGTTTTTAAAGTCGGCCCTTCCATGCCGTCGATGCTAATGCACTACAAGATGACGAACTCCTCAGCACACGTACGAAGTGCCGCTCATGGGAAACACATAGGCAGAAATAGCCGACGCGCCATGTCGACGCACGTAGGGGGCGGCCATTTTGGAAGTGCCGATGGCAATAGAATGACTGTATTCATTTTTTTTCTTTCGTGCTCGATTCTAACGCGCATGCGATTTATGAACTCGCTTGACCGGAAAAAAGGTGCACGTTAGATTCAAGTAATTACAGTATTTTTGAAAGAATTGTGGTGTTCCCCTCACAACATCACAGCTACAATTTATATGCCTTGGTCAGAATTTCAAAGCTATCCTACTTTTGTAATCACAGAAGGCCATAACATTCAGAGAACCTAAGCTTTTGTGGCTAATTGGTTGATTTGTTGCTTAAGAAGCCACAAGGTAATACATTGCAGTGATACTAATGAGAGACAGCTAAGCACCGCAGTCTCGCTACTTCCAGCACAAAAAAATTTTTAAAAATCTTGTGGTCAGCTGAATCGAGTGCCTGTAGAAAACAAGACGTGCTTCACTGCAACACAGTAGTGACGCTTGAGCAGCATGTTGCATGCTTCTCGCAATTACAGCACCTCATGATTTACCCAATCTTTCGCCGCAAATCCGCTGGAACGCCGGCCCGTAAGAGCCACAAAGGAATGCATTGTAGTGACACTGAGTGGCAGCTAAAGTACCCCAGCCTCGCTTCTTCCAGCACACACATGCACAAAAAAAGTCTCATGGTCAGCTGAAAAGTGTGCCTGTAAAAAACAAAATGTGCTTTACTGCAACACAATGGTGACGTGCGAGCAACATATTGCATGCTTCTCGTCATGTCAGTGCGTCGCGATTTACACGTTATTTCTGGAAATACAAAGAAATTAATAAAGGACAGTCTGTCGGAATTTACGATGTATAGAACCTCTGATTGCCGGTTGCTCCAGCAGAATGCACACTTGCACAGCTGGCGGAGTTCTTGCCTGCAACGCCTACTTCGAAAAGTCAGTTCAAAAGCTTCAGTGATCATGTTTCCCAACCAAAACACATTGCGAATTTGGTCACACTGGCCCTTATTAAATTTTTTTATTTTACCAGAAAGAATCGGCAAATGGTCGCGTCATGGTGCTGGCGCAGCAAGGTGAAGGCGACATGCTGTTCGCGTGTCACTACTGTGTTGCTCTGTAAATGTCATATTTTCCGCAGCACACATTTGAGTTGATTACGACAGCATGCTCTTTTTTCCCCCTTCTTTTGTAGTGGCAGCAGCAAGGCCCGCTGTCACTGTTCCCGTTAATTAGGGAGGCAATCGTCGGGCTAATTCAAAGAACTGAAGTATCAACCCCTTGAACTGCATCACGAAAGTACGGACAATTTAGATGTGGTCCTATTCAGCGTGCCAGTGAACGCTGGCTGGGGTCCAAAGAACAAGTCAGAGCCAATATTTGATACCAAAACAAAGAAATATATTCTCAAATAAGGCAGATCAAACAACACACAAGTATGCACACTCTGCAATAATCTAATACAATACGTCACCGACCAAACAACGGGTTACAAAATACAATTAGATACACTCAAAACAACGGACACAAGCAACGACATGCGCTACAATGCAATCTCATGCATTAACCAACCAAGACACATAAAGAATAAAAAGTTCATCAAACCTATTCAGTCCAAAGTTCTTAGAATAAAGCTTGAATGCTTCTCTTCAAGGAAACACTCACTAAAAGTACAGGAATGTTGTCGTTCCGCTGCTCCCGAAGTTCTTCTTCCAGGAAACCTCGCGTCGCCAAATGTCCATCCTTCGATAAGAAGCCTTTCTCGCCGGTAACACATCGTCCACTCACGCGCTGCGACAGCAGAACGCGTCTTTGCCCACTGGCGGTAAAGAGACAATTTTATCTTGCTTGTAATACAAGCCTTCACCCGCAGGTGGAAAACCTCTTCATTTCATCTGCTTTGTCACTGTAGACATAAGCCTTTGCCCGACGGCGGAAAAACTTTCATCTCTTGCTACTGCCGCAAAACTTTCATCTTCTGACCACCATCCTCTGCTCGCTTATATACATTTGCCCTAGGTTCCAGAAGCTTCGTCGGCGCGCTGCACAGCTGAAGCTAGGGAAAAGGCGAGCCTTTTCGAGAACTATTCGCGACGTGATGCAACTAGGGAGTGACTCATGCTTTCCTTCTCGAAGATTCTGGAGGTCGCGCGGCGATAGATGTGAGGAGGTTGGTCAGTGCAGCGATGACACTTTCTTAGGGGGAGAGACAGCGTTCCTGAGGAGGCCTTTTATTTCTTTTCTTCTTTTAAACCGGTGTCTGGCACTTCCGAGCGGATCCTGGTATTGTCGCCGTTGCTAGAACTCGGAGACGCGTGCTTTCTTGAGCTTTCATTTGTGACTCCTGCCATTCCTTTGTGTTTGCAACAAAATTGGGACCAGGTATTGCTAGAAGACATAACCTTTGGAGCCTCAAACTAGCCGTCTCAGCAAATGACCTGCCCTAATTCCTTTGACTAATTCCAAGTTCCTTGCTTCCCACTTTTTTTATGTTCTGTAAACTCGAAAACTTGTTTAATCTGAAGATTGCTCACAGTCCCTGTGACTTTGAATTAATGAGGTTTTACTGTAAATCAAGTTCTGCGTGTCTCCATTGCGATCAAATGGTAAAACCGAAAAAGTGGAACCGTAAGAGTTTTTCCCCATAGGCATTGCCACAGACTGTGTGATTCTTTAGCGCTAGAAATCACTTGTTTATCTCTCATTTTGTTTATGTTCTGTTTATCTCTGTTTATCACATTAATTTTCAAAGGTTTTTGTAAGTTCTAGGAATTTGCAGCACCTCCAAGTCGGCTTGCATTGTCATTATAGCTTGAAATTTCAAGTGGAGGGTCGAACACGTACACTTACACCAAATGCACTGCGGGACAGAAAACTGCTATCTACATGTACAACAAAAACACTGAAAAGGTTAAAGGTGGTTGAAATTGGCAGAGTCCTCCACGATGGCTTTCTTGTAGTTGTAGTGGGGTTGGGGGATGTTAAACACCAACAGTTGATTGACTGGCAAGTGCGTAATAAACCTCCCAAGTGACGCCAGAAATTATTACATGTGTCAACAATGTCGGGTAGAATACCAAAACAGTAATGTTAGCCTACTGATGTGCCGTCTGCAACATTTTGCATGTGTACCACTGCTTAGAGGCACCAGTTCAACCAAATGCGTAGCTGTGTCTCGTGGCAGCAATACCATGTCACTGCTATCGGTGTTAGACAAGTACAACCATGAGCAATAGAAAGGTCCCTTCTGCAAAAGGGACCTTTCTATTGCTCATGGTTGTTCTGCAAAAGGGACCTTTCTATTGCTCATGGTTGTACTATGTGGTGAAATATCATGTTTTAATTTTTTTCCTTTTTTTTTCTCAGTTTGGCTTTCTACGTCAGGTGGAGGATGGAAGCACCACATTATCAATATTAAATCCAGACTGTGGGAGTACTAATGGTAAGCGATATATGTATTTCAACCTTTTTTTTTACCTTTTACTGTATTTGTTAATGGTTCTGCTCCATTGGCTGTAACATTATATTGTGTTTAATCCACTGTAGAGTCTCCTCATAATGTGCCCTGCATTCCAATTCCTGGGAGTGTTTTACGAATTTCGCCTAGTAATCGTTCTTGTCATCACATGTTGCAGGATCAAAAGAAATGAAGGTCAACCTAGAAATGCTAGTTGGAAAGCTTGCTCACGGAACTGGAACCCTCATGGACTTCAAGGATGAGATCAGAAACATTGCACGACCAAGTAAATGGCCTCCAATTTTTCTACCTGTACAGCTGTAATTTGCTCCGATGAAATAGCAGTACCAGGGCTTGAAGGCACAGAAATGCTTCATTAAGCAGTAAAAGCAATTTAATTTGACCGTTACTGTAAATGGAAAATATTATTGGACAATTTGTGGAGTATTATTTTTAAAAAATGTCTACTTAAATTGTGTCTACTTAGATTGATCCCTGCTGTGAAGGAAGTGTGCAGGACTCAAAAACATGCTGTCAAGTAGTTCGCTGCTGGTGCACGAAGACATTAATGCCCTCAATCATGCTACCAACAGACGACCAGTGCTGCATGTAGACTGAAAGCATGAGCAGGTTGCAAGCAAAAATGAGAGGCAATGGTAACCGCTGTTCTCTAATATGTCGCTGTGTGCCTTTAGATCTCGTTGCCCTTCACATATTCCGACAATGGAAAATGCTGGCAGTGCAGTTTGTGCAATTTATTGCGTATGAATTTTTGTTTTGTTTCGTTTAAGGGAGGAGGTGGCGTTGAAAAAAAAACTTTTTGTTAGTTGACCTAGAGCAATGAAATTCGGCGTGCATTCTCATAAGTGTCTTGAATAGGGAAATATGCAGTTTCATCATGATACCTTGAGTAGTTCTCAAGTTACATCATGCTACTTGGTTAGACTTATTTGGTCTGCTTATATGGTAAGCCTAGGGCTGTAACAAAACATGCCAGGAAGCTGCAAATGGTGTTGATCTTCACTCAAAAGAAGACTATTGGGTATGACAATCTCAGAATTTTTTTATCACTTTTTTTTTTAATAGAGATCATCATGGCTGCCTACACACATTGTCAGAAAGTGTTATGTACAAGTCATCTTCTAGAAAAAAAAAACTGGGTCATAAACAAGAATTCTAACATTGTCAGACCCCCAAGAAAAGTTTTGAGATTCAGAAGAAAAAAAAACTGCATCAAAATGCGTCCAGTCATTCCCATGTTACACTTTCCACGACCAATGCACAATGTCCAACACACACTTGTAAGAAAAAGCCTGTCGAAGTTTCTGACAGGCTTTTTTCCATTACTTTCTTATTTCTTGTTGTTGGATATTGATGAAAATTTGCACAGACACTACAAATGACCTTACAGTGTTTCCATAAAAATTTTGAGGCGATACCACAAATACTTTACGAGAGACAAATTATTTCTTCATTGAACCTCGTGGAGGGGCTGAGCATAATGTAAAAAAAAAACAGTATTGAGAAAACTGCGTTTAAAGTTTCAACTTTTTTTTGTCTCTAAGACACCTAAAAACTGTGATCTCAGGTTTGTCTTGTGATATTTGACTTCTCAGGCATCTGGTCTCCGACCAGTGTGCCTTGGTTGCCTTTTTTTCCCCTTATAACCTCCTTTTCATGATTTACAAAGAACAAGTATGGATGTCAAAAAAAGTTCTTTGTATGAAGCAGTGGTGTGATAGGCATGACAGAAAAGATTGTAATTGAATGAGACCATATACTGAAATGATTACACATATTTCTTGGGCTGAAGTTGTAATTAGCATAATTAAGTACTTGATTACAAATAATCACTGATTTGGAGAGAGGTTTATTGCATCAGATAAATGGATCACACAATGACGGCCTATGTCTTCTTTCCAAATAACAAAGTTATGGGCAGAAGACTGGTGGCATAGAATTTTTTAGCAGGATAATTAATGACGCGAAACGGGCATATAAAAATTCGTGCCCCTGATTCATACGCGCTCTTTTGCCACTCTAGCCGTGAAACGCATCATCATACAGCGGGTCGCAAAACTAATCTACGAGGCTTTCATTGCCTCGGAACATTCATATTCATAGACGTTCGTGGCGATATCAAGCACGGCTCCAAGCACGTCTAAATCGCATCACAAAAGCTTATTGACAGCACTCCATATGACCGTGGAGTGCGCGGCCGCGTGGACAGTGCAGCCGGCGCGTAATGCACTTGCCGGCGGCGTTCGGTGACGATGCGCGAAATGTGTAACTACGAGGACGAAAAATCGGCGCGCACTGCGCTTGGCATCGCATTTTCGAGTGACGACACGCGAAACTACTAGCCGCTGTTCAGCACAATCCTTGGCAGTGAAGGGGGGGGGGGGGGTGACGAGCTTGACTGTGTGGTCTGCTGCCGATGCGTAATATGCCCGTACATGGTTCAGAGGAGCTAGTGAGTGATGTGCTTCATCCCTTGCGAAGAAGCACGTCGCCAACAGTGCGGTAGCGCGTTGTTCCTACCCGCAATCTCGCTGTCAGCCGAGTTAGGGCTAAAGCCGACTCCGATGATGTGTTGCGCTCGTACACCGCGCGCCCGCTCGTACACCGCGCGCCCGCTCGTACACCGCGCGCCCGCTCGTAGTAATCTGATCATGCATCCAGTGCGGCCACTCGTAGTAATCTGATCGTGCCGGCGCTTACAGCTTCGTTGCTTGCGAATAAGCACGTCGCCACGAGTGTGCTAGCGCGTCGTTCCTGCCCGCAGTCTCGCTGTCGCCAGAGTTAGGGCTAAAGACGACTCGGATGACGCGCCGCGCTCGTGGACCGCGCGCCCGCTCGTATAACCTGATCAGGCATCCGCTTACTGCTCCTAACTAAAGCTTAATTATATCTTAAGCGATCATCGAGCCGTGAACACGTCACGAAGTAGCGATTTTCGAGACCCATGTCCTTGCGACGCACAAGCAGCAGACGACGATCTCCCGGAGCGAGCGTTGGACGAATGGCGAGACGAGCTGAGACAACATGGCGGCCACAGCCAATCAAGGGCCTCGAAACGACCTTCAAACATTTGCTTTTTGTGCACTTGTTCTTAAAGGGAGGAGCCAGCTGAGGTGGGAAAGTTAAACATGGAGAAATGCTCTTTCCGGTTAACCAAAAAAGCCGGTTCCCGGACCCGCCATCGCGAAGATATAATTTTTTGAAAATCGCTGTTTTCTCGTGATTTACAGAAAAATTTTCGCTACCTAGGGGGGTGAAACGAATTTTCCGAAGCACTTCTGCACGGTTTTCGGTGTATATATTTTGGAATCGGGTAGAAAAAGGGTTCCAGAAACTGAAAACTTGATTTAAAAAAAAATCGATTTTTTTTGCCATTTTTTGTGATCCCAAAGCCGTGTCCCCCCTTAAACAAAGTTTACTTGTGCAAAAGCAACTTAGGCTAAGCTGTGCCAGCGACAGAGCACATTTTCATTTGCTTCATTTACTTAAGATATGAGCAAGTGTGAAAATGAAGACAGTTATGTTCGTTGTATCACCACTGAAAAATTATTCTTTTCTATAATTCGCCTGCAGCATTGATCCTTCGAAACTATGACACATATAAGGACACTATGTGTGCAAGGTCCTAATCCCATGTTTCTTATTTTTCTTGGTCTAGGAAAACTGTTTCAGCTATTTTTCTGGGGGATATTCATTGGGCATTTGTCTATAAGCTATAAAAGTTATACATGAATTTTTTTTTTTTTCAATTGTTTATTACAGTCAAACCCACTTATAACCATCCCAGATGTGACAAGGTTGAAACGACCATTTCAGTGCACTTACGATTTGCCAATGCTACCTCTTGAAACTGCATCCACATATAGCGAACATTTTTGAAAGCCTTCTACTTTTACAGTGAACACTTCCGACACAGTTGCGCAAAAGATATGGTGCATATGAAAAAGAAAAAAAAGTTAATGGAACGGTCATACTAAAACATTGTCAGAAGCTCTTGCGTATACCAGTTTGTAGTTTATTCGTGACAAAGATATAGTAGACCAAAACGAGCACTGTATGCTTATTTTGGACACTGCGATCAAGGTCGCTCTCTTTCTAGGCATTTCTTCACCGGAAAAATGGCACTGACAAAAGGAAAAAAGAAATAAAAAGAAATAGGCACAATGAAGACTTGCGGTCAGCTTTCGTGCGGCCAACTTTTCTGACGTCGTTCTCCGAGTCTGCCTTTGAACACAAAAAGCTATAAATCCAAGAAGCGATAACTTCTTGTCGCAGAAAAGGTCACTGTGACGCTCAACTTGCCGACATCATAATGTGCCGCCAAACATCTTTCGTCATTCGGTAAAGGCAGAGATAGGTCGATCAATGATAACGAATTCCGTGCAGTTGCGCCTGTGCCTTAAAACAGAAAAGCATCGGGAAAGATGGAAAGCAAGGTGGTTAGTGGCGATGAATGTACCATTTTGACTCGTCGCGGACAACCTTATCACAGTAATCTGCAGATGTCTGCTCGGCTGTGCTTGTTTAAACCACACAATGTGACAATCGCACCAGTGCGTCATGCTGCCCTTCGCAAGTTTGTTGCTGTCGCATCATGCGAGGCCGCTGGCGTGTCGCTCGCAAAATGCACGTCTTCATTATGTTGAACGAACAGGCTAGTCGCCGCACTCGAGCACAATACCTTGTGAAGCATGCATGAAAATGCACAAACGTGCACATACATTGTTAAACTGCAAATGGCCTGGCATGTAACGGCGAATGTTGAGTAAGCAACATGGTGCATGCAACTAGCCAGGGATGCTCAGTCCCACATGGTAGTAATGTGCTTCAGAGGTATGGCATGAGTGCTTTGTAAATGTAGTTAAATTCACCCGGGAGCACACCGCAGACGTTGCTTAACATGCAAAAAGCCTAACTTGTCACCGGAGGGGTTGGTTGCACTTTTTAATAAAAGTACACAGAAAAAAAGGAGGGTTTGGTCCCAAAGGGCACGTTTTTGAGGGCGAGTCCATATACAACAAACTACTGATATAACGATTACTTATTGTGGCATTTTAAAATTTGTTGTAAGTGGGTTCGACTGTACTGATAAATACATAAGCTTATTGTATACAAGTTGTTTAAGAGGATAGCTAAGAATGCCATGTTAGTTACTTGCAGACTCCATTTATTTGGCAATAATCTGGCGAAGGCAGAAGTGTCGGTGTGTGTGTCCACTTGGGAATACTGCACCAGGAGCTAGAGTGAACACTTTCATTGGCCATA